AGAGAGAGAGAGAGAGAGAGAGAGAGAGAGAGAGAGAGAGAGAGAGGCGGGGATCTGAAATCATTAAAAACCCCAATTTGAAAATGAGTGCAGGTGTATGTCAGTCAGGACTTTTTTCCGCTAGTTATCCGCATTAGTCAGGCCGTAAAATACAGAGGAGTGCGTAAAATCGTTCTCAAATGGAGCTGGGTGGAACATGATACTTTGACAGCATTGATTGCACGTGATTTTGAGATATTAAGTTGACATTTTTAAAAGCTTCTATTTTGGAAGAAGTCAGCTCTGTAAGGCTCTTTTACTGTCACATTTATTGAAGCGTTTATCTCCTAAAATAAGCGTTATTGCACGGACAATGTAATACAACAAACTTCATAAAATAATTGTAGTTCTCAACAACATTCTGCAGCAACAAATCTTCTAATATTTTTATTAGAGATGAGGTGTTATAGTTAGAACTCATTCAGCCATAAAAGCTAATTTTCATTTGGAAGAGGCAATGGGTAATATTTGATTTTATAGTTTAGAGAAGCAAAACAAAACGCCCAAAACACAACTCTTACATGGACGAAATGCTACTTGCTATTTTAGCAAGTCAGCTCTCATCTGTTGTGCACGTTTTATACAATGTTAAAAAGTTGATTATATGCATTTTATGGGAACAGTAGCGAAATAAAGACAGTTAGTTGACTTGTTCATGTCACCTGATTATGGCTGCTGAGGATTATTGTTTGCCATGATTGGTACATTACTATAACAGCAATAGCCTTGTTAGAGCATTTAACATCCCATAATAAACGCTGTTTCGAGGTTTCAGAGACTCCATAAAGCATGAGAATTTGTTGTTGTGTTTTTCAGTTGAATAGGCTAATATAGTAAACTCGCTGTTAAGGAACCGAGCGGAGGAATCCGGGGTTTCTGTTCTTGGTGCAGAAAAGGCCCACGCCTATAGCCAAGCATGGTAGAATATTCAGGCAATATGCAGCCTTATCGATTGTGATATTATGATATGAGTGATATCTCGGCTGAGGAGATGAGATAGTGCGCGCGATAACAATCACACTTTGATAAAAGAAGCCAGTGGCAGAGACCAGACCCGAATAGCAACTAGCAATATCTCTCAAAGTTTGAAAGGATATCTAAAAAGGGGATGGGATCAGTGTAGGTGTGTGTGTGTGTGTGTGTGCGTGTGTACGTGTGTGTGTGTGTGAGTGTGTGTCTAGGCAAACCAATAAACGAGCAGCGAGCTAGTGTGTTTCCAAACGAAGCTTGCATCAGATAACGGTTACATATCTGATTATTGCGTGGGGAATCTGTTAGTATGGAGGTGCAGCCCTGCTGTCAGGCTGCTGCACGGGTCCGGCTCTACTGTGTGAATCTAATTCTACTCTGCATCGTTTATAAGCAGATGTAATCAGCTGTGGCCTCTGCTGCTGGCATCCCGTGATTGCACTTACAGAACATTGGGCTGTTGCCACGGTTTAAGCGGAGCGGGAAGGCCCAGTTCATTCTTTGAAAAAAATAAATAAATCCTTGTTGCAACATGAGAGCGGTGTTCATTTTGATTGGATGCAGAATCCTCATTGCTCCTGAGCATGCGCGACCAGGGCGTTAGATACACGTGCGTCCCTATCGTATAGGCTTTTTGCTTGCAAACCATCATGCCGCCTAATTAATCACAGCGATACAGTAGCCTACATGTCACACCCACGAATCAACAGTGTTATAAAAATCTAAAATCTATGTACATATATTGAACTTAGTATTCCCCCACAGTGTATCTATTTCATGATTTAATTGTTTTGACCAAACAAATTAAATCTAGCACGGCCATAAAACATCTCAGAAGAATTTTAGAATAAAATGAAAACTGGTTTGTTAAACTCTGATGTGTAATATTCCACTACATTTATATTAATTTCTAGAGATATACTGCATTCAGTCCACTGTACAGAAGGTTGACAATCTGGTGAAAGAGATGTCCGTGTGTGTGTGTGTGTGTGTGTGTGTGTGTGTGTGTGTGTCCTCAGATGGATTTTCCCACAAACAAGCGAGGAAAAATGTACCCCCCCCCCAAAAAAAAAAAGAAAAGAAAAGAAAAAAAAAGAAGTCAAAATCAAGTTCAACAACGTGCCGGAGAGATATTTACATGACAATCAGGTCTGGGATCCTCGAGGTCCCCCCACCCTGCACAACAGAGTCTGGCGTCAGCCCCGCTACACTTTCCCAGGCTCACAACAATATCTCCCTGCTGAACTCTGCACTGCAGCGCTGCCTGGGGCCTCCTCCTCCTCCTCCTCCTCCTCCTCTTCATCCTTACTACTACATGAATACTTCTCACATGAGCACATGGCAGCGAAGAGCCTCATTAAATATTCCGGAGTTTGCATAAACCCTAATGCTGGCTAATTGACATGCATCGTGAGAAAAATGTGTACGATTTGTCTGATGATTTGAAGTGAGTCTGTGGTGCTCAAGAGGCCCTTATAGTATTTTGAATATGTCATGATGTTATTGTAATATTACAGTTACAATGTGCTTATAGTTATGAAAAAAATATTAGCAGCGGTATATCAGTAACATAAACATGTATACAAGAATGAACAGATTACAATGTCTAGTTTCTTCGTTTAACATCTTATAAGGTAACACACACACACACACACACACACACACACACACACACACACACACACACACACACACACACAACATATTCTCTTTAAATGCAATCATTATATCAAATAACTGTGAAATTAAAAGATTATACGCAAGTATAGCCCGATTTGACATGTTGCACCTATGTTTTCTAAATATACTTACAATTTACTTGAATTCAATCCAAAAATTACGTCCTCATATATTGAAAATTTAGTAAATTAAAATTTGTCCCAGAATGTGTCCTTTCTGCACTCCAACCAAATAAGCTGGGCTCGACATTCAGAGAGAGAGATCTGTCTCCTGTCCTGCATGGCAAAAGTGCACCGCAACGCACCGCAACGCCTTCAAATCTTAAATGTTATGTACCTGCATAAACGGAGAGCTGACTACCATATTATTGGAAAAATCCTCTCTTACCGGATAAAGCGGGTCAGACCGGAGTGTGAGAGGAACGGCGGCAGCGACAGAGGCGAGGGGAGGGAGGATGATGATGATGATGAGGAGGAGGGAATACAGCCGGCACGGGGCCTATCAAACGTGTCAATATATATATATATATATATTTACTATACAGCTACAGTATATATATATATATATGTACATATTTACTATGAGGGTGGGCGGGGTTAACGGTTTAGATCTTATAAACAAACGATATGCTGCATGTCTCGTTTCGAAGAGGCACAACGTAAATAAATACAGTTTACAGTAAAATACATCCACAGGACGAAACAGCGACACACTTTGGTGAGAAGCAACAGGGCCGTTTACAGTACAGTGACACTGTAATCTTGTTTTATAAGGATATTTACTCAATGAACAAAGCATATGTGTTTGTACAGGGATGGAAATAAAAGAAAGTATAAAACTAAAACTTTCTCTGGTGCAGGCAAAGTTTTTACATGCACGTGTTATATTCAAGTCTAAAATATTATAGCCAATAATCTCCTTCATGGAATAAGAATTAGTCATATCTATATAAGAAAATGTTTGTATTTATATAAGTATATCATATTTATTGGAAAATCTATGGTGTTAAGAAATTAAAGCCAAGATCAGTAACCAGCTTTGCTGTATTAATACAATGAATACATACAATACATACAAATCAGGAAGAATTGTGTTTGATGAATTTCCAGTAAGATTACTTTAGTCTTGATTTGAGTTTTTAATCAGAAGTTAACCTGTTCAAAGTAAAACTAAAATAAGAGGTTGAAAGGTTAAAATATTGAATGAAACAAAGGTTGAAATATTTAACATTGAAAAAGCTTCTTTATTATTATTATTATTATTAATAGTATAATAGTAATAATAATAATAATTATTATTATTGTGATTATTATTTCAGATCATGAACATACAACACAGGCTGCAGGCTGAGAAAACTGACATAATAATTGTGATGACGTTTACAGGAACACAATTTACTCTTTATTCTCATTATTCTTAACACAGCAGATAAAATAAGTCTATACTTGATTATATGAATAATTTAAAACTTAATTCATATTATCATTTTTCTTTTCCCATATCTGTGAGGCTGTGTCTTTTAGGTTACTGTATTCTTGATATATAATTGAATCTATTATTACAAAATGTCGGTCTACATGTCTTCTCTTCCATGAAATTTAGATTTGATGTTGCATTTTGCCTGAATGAAAAGCACATTTATGTATTCAAAACACTCTAACAGCAAACCTCTAATGTGGTCATTCAGCTGGCAATATCAATCAAAAGTTGTTGAATACTGTATTTTGAATGATTATACATTTTCACTTATTCTCATGTCTGAAAATACACTTTTTGACAGTGATCAATGGGATTTCATGCAACGTGTGTTTCTTTAGCAGATTTCTCCATGAACTCCAGAAACAGAAATGTTCTGATTTAATTAGCTTTTATACATTTATCCCTGCAGGAGCAGACAAGTTCTCCACAATGTATAATAACACCATATTATTTAGAGCAGAAGAAGGGAATAAAGAGTATCTGTTGAATACGTACCGTAAACATTTGCATTTAGAATAAATCACTGAACTCAGTTAATGTCTTGTGTGTATCAGTTAAGTTACTTTGAGCCGAGCTGATGAGAAAATCATTTTAAGGTTTTCCCAATAACTGTAACTTTGTCACTCACAAAGAAACATAGAAAGGATCTATAGATATTTTATCTTCCAGCTTTAAAAATAAGTGACAAAATTTGATGGTTGTTTTAAAACACTTTTTTGAACAGTCTGGTCTTAATCAAGCTAATATTGAGCATCATATACATTTTTCACTCATCGTTATCTTGACAATTTTTTAACAATCTGTGAAGTAAATGTATAAATGTTTTACTTCTATATATTCATATGGGCCGTGTCTCTTTTATGAACATTGGTGTTAATGTCTCTTGCTGAACTCACAGGCCTCATACTAGACTGAGAAGACTAAACTCAAGATGCATCAGGCTCAAGTCTGGCCTTTGTGAGAAGAATTTAGTTAAGTCATCTGAGAAATATAGGTATATGTTTAACTTTTACTTTTTTAAATTATTGTTCTATTCTGTTATTAGCTTACTAGCATTTTCCAATCAAACATTTTTTTTACATATATTATATACTGTGTTGTAGATTACTAATGAATTAACAATTTATTTTTAAAGTCAATGAGATACCCTGTTGAATTTTTAAAACAGAGAGACAGGGACTTTGTAAATACAAGATTAAGATCAGATTAATACAATATTTTGAATACTGCCCATACTGTTCATAATTTACAATAGTATAATACATTTTTAAAATAACAAATATTCTATTATTATATACAATTTCTTAATTTTGTGCAATGGCAATACTGAGAAATCTATTTAAACAAATAAGAGTTATAGCAGTTGAGACTAATACTGTCACATTTCACCCTTTTAACAAAGAGACAATATAACAAATACAAAGCTTAGGGATGTGTGCATTCACACATTAGCCATGTTATCTGCATGAGACAGTTAATAAGACAAAATGAGGGTTAGGGTTTGGGTTTTAACACATTTTAACAGAAGAATGCCTTATAATATATTTGAAAAAGAAGAAATGCAGTTCTTTTTAAAATGATGTAAAAAGTAATCCCGTTAAAACTTTAAAACATTGTAGAAATGTTGAAGTATCTTTAGACAGGACATGCCCTATGATAAACTGTAATGTTTAAATACATTAAACAGAGTAAACTTCTTACCACAGCAGGCTCGTGCAGAGACCTGTTAATTCCTCCTCTGCCTGGTGTGAAAGAGGGAGAGCGAGCATGAGCCCTCGTGCCTTAATTTGAAGCAGGCTGGGCTTTATGATAATCAGAGCTGACACCGACCTGTGCTCCCTGAATAGAGGAGGGCACCCTCGAGCCTGCGTTCCCACGAGCCGCATTCCTACGGTCAAGTTCAAGCTCAAAGCGCGAGCCACCATTACTATGCGTGGCTTGCCGCGTGGCTAATTCCAAAAAGGCGCGCACTCCCTGCCGTGGGAGAGTTCGTCACCTTGTATTCAAATGCAGCAGCAGATAGATGGATAGATGGGCCCACTGTGAGGCTGTCACCAACAGTCAAACAAACAGCACACCCAAAAAGGCTTCTGCTGCTGTCACTTCTTCTAAAACGGTAAATAAATACACAAAACAGCATTCAATTTTCTAATTATTTATTCAAACGGAAAAATACAATGTTCCTTAAATAGTTAGAATGTGTCTTTTTGTGTCTCCATTTGAAGATTAAATACATTTACATGTTACATTTCTGCTGTCACTATTTTCTAGTGGGATAATATTTCTTTTTGTAGGAGCCTACTTTTATTTGGAGTAGACTTACTGATCATAGTTGGCCCATGTACAAAAAGACTACTACAGGCCCACACAGGCTTAAATACTGCTACTCTTGATGTTTTATTCCCTCCCTTTAGAGGGTGACTCGTTGCAGTCATCAACAATGAGCATGTAAAATCTTAACTGCAATTATATTGAAATGTACTGTCCTGAAATAATAAAAGGCTAATGATAATCTAAGGTTTCACAGAAAACATCATTGTTAATGTTGTACATACTGTATTGGGACAATCTACACAATTTTATTTCAACATTGTTAATTTTATCCACAGGGAAACACGTTCCTGAAAGTCTCTTAAGGACTGCAGGAGTAAGAAAGAGCTCATTTCTACTATACTGCGTATGGACAGATAACAATGTGCTGAATGTCAAGCATTGTGTTGTATGGTTTACATCATTTCTTGGTAAATTTGCTTTCCCCTCCAGTAACAAGAAATTAAACTTTGACCACAAAAATCTAAGTTCAGTATTTCTGGTTCAGTTACAGCATTGTATTTCATGTGAGCTGATGTGACAAGTGTATGTTTTCTACATGTTTTGTTTGATTTTTTAAGCATCTTGTGTTTAAGTTTGTTGTAAGATAAAATTCCAATTGAGGGTTCAATAATGAACCGTGATCAAATGCTAGTGAAATGATGAATGTCCAAATGTTTAAGAGTTTTGTTTGTAAAAGAGAGAGTATTTTAAGTAATATCAGGACAGCAGATCAGTACTGTTCAGATGTCATAGCTCAATAACTCAAAAGCAATCGGGGTCTATTAATGACCTTTCATGGGCTGATTCAGTTCCAAAACATAACTTTTACACTTACATTTATAGTAGTTGCATCATGATGACTTTAAGTTAATTAAAACACACACAAACAAGAACTTAAAAATGTTCCATTTATCTTCAAAAAGTCCAGACTTGTCTCAGTGTACATTTTTCGTTAAAAAAAACATATTTTCAGGATGCTCGTTTATTGTTCTGTACATACAGCATGTCTTTGCTGTGGTGCAAACTGCTTGCTAAGCTTTGTATTTCTGCCAATTTGTACTTTATTTATATCCTAGTTTACACCATTTAAATAACATTGAGGGAATCAGCTTTTTACATTTTTCTCGAGTTATTTAAACCAGAAGCAGCTGTCTGTATATATGAGCAGGAGCTCAGTGTGAGTTTGATATCAGAGGCAGAAGATTCCCACATGTATGACATGTAAGTGGGATTTGTCTAGCCAGAGTATAATTGGCTGGCTCTTTCCCAGACAGCCCCGTCCCACCTCCCCATGTTCCTGCATTTGAGGTCCCATAAAACGGCGTCTGGCTCGCTGATCCCACGACCCCTGAGGGAATAAACCCTTCACTCATGATTTGGATGGTGAGGTTCTGTCTGTGATCATGAAGTGAAGAGTTTAACATATCAGGAAGTCACTCCACCATTATCCTTAGTTCACCTATTTTCATGATAGTGCTTTAATATGTGCTCTACTCTAAGAACAGTCACATCTGCAGTACAACTGTGGTCATCGCAATCCTGTAGTAACAAAAAACTAGATAAAACGAGTGACTGAACCTCTGAATCAG